CTTCTGTATCACGCGTGCTCGCAGGCCACTGCCGGCGGCGCTTCACCGCTACATGTGGGCAGGACCTACAGTCGGCCATTCGCTGGTCGTCCGGGCACTTTTTCTGGCAAACCTTACATGGCTAAATTATGACATGGCTCAGAAAGGGCTTATATAGCACCTCTGAGGGCAACTTGGTACTAAACATGGGCCAATTGACATGATATCTACATGATCTTGCTAACATGGACATGAAATAGCTAAAAGAGAGTTAATATGAATGTACCCTTCCGATCGCTCGTGGAACGGGCTATGACTTGCGTGCGTTTGCTCGTAGTTTCCGTGGTGTACGTTCCTTCCTTCTCTGATGACTAGGTACAAACTATTTTCCCTCAATATTTTTCTATCTTTTTCTTCGGTTTTTTTCTTTCTATTCCAAGACTTAGCTCGACTAATGCTCGGTGAATAATAACTCATGGCCGAGTCTATATAAATAGGTAAAATGAGTAGATGGAGGTGAAATAGGGTGGCGACACTTGGTTAATCCGTGTGCTTTGGTGGCGTTTTACGGGCTTAGTCACCATCCGAGGTGGCGCATGGAACTCGGCTTAGTCATAGCATGCACGCTCACGCCATGCCACATCGACCAAGTTACTAGGTGATTCACGGCGCAAGTTGCGCATGATCTTATCTTACGGCAACTACAGGCTAAGCATGGATTAATAGGCTAAGCATGGATTAAGTTAATTAAGCAAGGGTTAATTAAAGTGGTTCATGACAATTACTTAGGCATAAGTTGATGATGGACATTGTACCTAATGTGAACGCGACAATGTATAGGGATGGTGTGTACGCATGACAACTTAAACCGAATTTACTCATTCAGTATATAATAATTTTTTAATCTCAACATATTGCATGTTATGCTGACAGGTGTACAAAGCTATTTTTTTTTAGTTTTGTTATTGGGTTTGTTTGGGTTGAAATACGAAGAGTCGTGCCTAATTTTCTTTCACTCCTAATTTTCTTTCACTCTTCACAGATCTCTAACAACTGCAAGAATCTCGACCTCAAATATTTCTCAATTCGACCAAAATTGAGACCTAATTCTTATTGAATGTTAATTTATTTTTATTCTCCGTTTATTCTTGACTTTGAATAATTAATCCCGACTAATAATATCTGTTTATAAAATAAACGTTTCTGAAACTAATTATCGAAATGAACTCGGTCAATAAAAAAAAACGAATAGATTTTTGACTTAAAGACGAACTTATTGGCTTAAAAGCTGAAATGAACATTATTAACAAAAAGAAATACATCGCTCTTATTAATAACAAATTGGGTTATTACACTGTGAGCTCGCTACCCCATCGGCAAGCCGCGTTCCATTCGTTGCTCGTGCACCGTTTGTCCCGACGAGAGTCTACCATCGTCACCGTGAGCCGCGACATCGACCAGACCCGTGTCATTGCTGTTCGTGGTCACCGAGCTTCACCAGACGTGCGTCGTTCCTGGCCGAGCCAAGCGTAGCTGCCGAGGCTCTCCCGCTCGTGCATAGCAAGCCCGTTCGACCCTTATGTTGCCCGTTTCGTAACCCGTCCCGAGAACGGTACCCGGGCTAACCCTCGATTTATTTATTTCGCTCCTATATGTGTGTAAGTTCTCGTATATGTGTTGTTATTGTTGAACGTATGAATTTCAAACTAATTATGTGTCGTAGATATGTATTTGAGTGAATTTTGATATATATATATATACATATATATATGCCTTTTGGATATCAAAGTGATTGCCGTCAATTTGAAAAATTGTCGAGATGATGTTACCATAGTAAATGTTGTGGATTATTGGACTTACGAATGTCCTTGACGCAATGGCTTTGGCCTTGTGTAGTTTCGATGTGTATATTGTGAGATATGAATTTTTGAAAATCATGCTGCAGCCGGTTTTTGCTAATCACTATAATTCGTGTATTGCTCCAAAAATTTTGATTTTTGGATATGTGGTAATGTAGTTGTTATATTACTTGTAGTAAAAATTTGAGATTTTTATATGGCCTGTAGCCTTGTCAAAACTCGAAAACAATTTTTGAGCTGATTCTTAATAAATTCATATAAAATTGAGTTCTTGTCCAAAATGGCTAATTTGTTTTTTATGTTGATGTTCTACATGATATCTTGCTGCTGTAAAAATTTCAAATTAAAATTCAGACTGTAGCTATTTTAAATAATTTAATTCGATTTCTGGTCAGTTTTTGCTTGATTTATTTAAATTGGTTAGGAGCATGCTTAGGGGCTTTCCTTTGGTAAAATGTGTGTTTTTCAGTCCTTTATGTGCTGTAAAAATTTGAATTGAAATGTCCAAGCCTAACTCCTTATAGCCCTATTCTTATAAATTCGAACTAGTCTGTTTAACCCGTTTTTCGCACAGGTTGGCCTTGTTGGCACATCATTGACCTGTTGACCCCGTTTTCGTGTGAAACCTTCATTGTCTGCTTTTATATGATTTATTAATTGGTTGGTCGAGTCTAGGAGTCGTCCTAATGTTCCAACTCCACAACTTCCACGAGTTTCTTAGTCGATGTGATTCGACTAAGTATAATTCTTGTTATCTATGTAAGAGTCGAGATAGTTGCTTATGGGACTGTCTTGACTTACGTAGGTGTCTGACGAGCAGTGTCTCAACCACCTACGACTTTTTGGTTAATTTGCTTTATCATCCAGCACCAGGTGGGTTTTTAATTATGAAATTGATATGCTTTAATTAATTGTTATTGTTGTGGTATGATCAATGTATGCATATGGACCATGTAGCCTTCGATGTGAGTTGTATCGGCCGTCGAACGGTTATCCCGTAGCTATAGAACGTACCTTCAGGTAGTCTCCTTTATTTATGTATCGCAGTCAGGGCGCGAGCCTTGGCTGGTGATCCTCGTATGTAAGGCCAAGGCGTGAGTTTTGGCATTCTGGGTGGATTTACACCTGCTGGCTGGGCATCGATTGTAAGACCCGAGGGGCATTTCGATACGTGTATCAGTTCAGTGGTCTATTGGTATAGGTGTGCACATGAGGATTGACTCTGTGATAGGATATGGGATATTAATTGATTTGTGTTCATACTGTGACCATACCTGCTTTATTTTATGAATTTGGATATTAATTATTGTGTAGCGATGAGCACCTCGTTTTTCCTATTATGCTCATCTCCACCTGCTCTTCATGGATGCAGGTTAGTATTTGCGGGCACGACAAGAGGAGGCGAGTGGTGGTCATGTTACTGATTCTGTTTCCGCTGTTTGAACTGCTTAGTATCATTTATGCATTTCTGAATTATGTTGATTATTGGATTGTTGATAGGGAGTGTACTCCCTAATATTTATGAATTTGAGAAACCCAGTTTTGGGAGAATGATGTTTGATGAACTCGGTTTGGGTATTGACCTGATTATTGAATCCGTTTTGGGAGTTGCATTTATGATATTGTTGGAAAATGGTTTTTCAATGAATAGCGCCTAAAATGTTTTGAATTAAATTTTGAAAAATTTATTCTAAAATTTGTCAAATAAAAATGAGGCGTTACAATAAGGTTGGACACATTTTAGAGAAAATGGTCCTTTTTTTATTACATAATTACGTTCTTCATATAATTATTACCAAAATAGCTAGAGTTGTTATATTTATTTGCACATATGTCAAAAAAATTATTAAAAAATAAATTAGTTTAATTAATTAATAATTAGCATGAATTGAGAAAAGTATCGAATTTTCTTGAAAAACTAATTCCTATTGTATAGCAATAAAACCCCTCTCTCTCTCTCTCATGCCTTACTAACTATCCATTAATTCAACTTAACAGATTCATTTTTTTACGGTAAGAAAATATTTCTCTAATACCTCATTAACCACCCAATATTTTTCACTACAACCACCCAATAAAGTCTCTATATTTCTCTAATACCTCATTAACCACCCAATATTTTTCACTACAACCACCCAATAAAGTCTCTCTCTCTCTCTCTCTCTCTCTCTCTCTCTCTCTCTCTCTCTCTCTCTCTCTCTCTCTCTCTCTCTCTCTCTCTCTCTCACTCTCTCATTAACACAACTGACTGACTGGTTTTTATGTCTTTGCAAAATGTATGTTCATGTCCAATATATGATATGTATATGTATATAAACTCAATATACATCAAAAGTATAAATTCACAACATGTTTTTGTCATGTCAACTGTATGCACATAAGTTTAGTACATGTTTTGTATAAGTTCACAACATGTTTTGTCTTTTCATCCGTATATTTTACGGTCAACATATGTTAAGTATATATGCACTAAACAAAAATATGTTACACAACAGACTGATTGGTTTTATGCCTTGGCAAAATTCATGTTCATATCCATTATATGATATGTATAAATTCGTTAAACTTAATATTTCATATATATTTCAAAATTTGTTCATCAACATGGAAGAATATTTACCGATCGGGTAATTTGTATATACATAGAACATGATGTAGTTTAAAATTTAAATCCTTTTTTTTTTTTGTAGGATATATAAACTTACCATATATAATAAGTATTTTTTTTAATGGGAAACGCCCATGACATGTGCAAATTAAAGAGAGGAGTTGCATTATGTTTTGTAATTGATATGGTACATCTTTACAATTAATTGTAAAAATGCAAATATGTTGGGCCTGCTATATGAGTGCAATTATTTTCCAAATCATGTGTAGGGCTTCAAACGAACGAGTCGAGTATTGACCTTATCGAGCAGGATGGTTTTTTTCTTTTTGCTTCTCGAGCTTGATTCATGAGGCTCGAGTTCGACTCGATAAAAAGTACAATCGCTCGAGCATGACTCGAAATCAAGATGCTCGAGCTCGGCTCGAAATATTCTAAATTGAAAAATAAAATTACCATTAAGTATCTATGCTATTCTATTGTAATATATAAGGGGTAGTTTAATAATTCAACATATATCTCTGAGTACCATTAAGCACATATGCTATTCTATTCCATTAGAGTACTTCTTTCTCAAGTTTCAATACAGCCATAAATGCTTCTTGCGGTACCTCTACCCGACCAATTGCTTTCATCCTCTTTTTTCCCTCAGCCTGGACCGATCCATCCAACATAAACATAAAAAGTAGTCATCACCCTTTGGATGTTAAAGAATACTACTAACTAAAAGAAAGTTGTTCCCTATCTATTATACTTCATTCCAATTAGGCAGCGGAAAATCTTTGTGTTAAACTAAATTACGCAAAGCAAAAATAATTCACCTGTTTCCGCAACAGCTTCTTTTTTCTTGTGATATCTCCACCTACACAATAGTCGATGGAAAGTCAAATGCGTTGGAAAACCAACATAAAGAAAGACTCGCTGGTGGGTTAATAAAGAAATGGATATGATATGTGAAGCTTAAAACTTGGATTTTCAAAGCATAAAAGAATTGGTTCAAAATCTGACCGTAGCATTTAGCAAGAACATCCTTCCTGATAGCTGACAAAGCTTCACTAGCAATCACCTTGGATCCAATGCATGCCTGCGTAGCATACAAAACGCACATTTGCCGCCATTACTTACTCCTATATGCCATGCCATATTCAAAATTTTACCAAAAATTGTGAAGCTTTACCTGGATTGGAATTTTAAACATTTGCCTGGGGATTAGCTCCTTCAGTTTTCGAGTCAAAGCCCTTCCAACACCATAAGCCTAAGATTTTCTTACAGTTGACAACAATTAAACAACATGACCATGCAACACACAAAGTATATATAACTGAAGGCAACTAAAAAGTCATTTTCAAATTCAACTGAATTAGTGAATTAGAGCTCGTCACCTTGTCTTTATGGACAATAGTGGATAAAGGATCCACAGGATCCCCATTGATTTGAATATCAAGCTTTATCAAGTCGCTCTCCTTATACCTGTCCATAAATTCAAACAAACTTACTGCAACGTCTTTCAACCAACATATTGACCTTCAGAAATCAGAATTATACAAATAACTCTTCAACATCCCAACACAAGATATCAACAGTTACATAAACATTATTTTCTATGAGCTAAGATTTTCATTCACGTGCCAGGGCTAGTTAAGAAAAGGAATTTTAACCAATCGCTGACACGGAAATGTCCATGGTCAGACTCATACGTAAAGGAAAGTGAGTAAAGCATATTATCAAAAATACTGACAAACTAAATAAGTCAATAACCCTTGAGCTTAGACATAATGGACCACGAAAACAAGCAGTCCGACAAAGAGAGTACATATTTGATGACAATTAACTGATAAATTGCCTGGACTGGGTAGAACTCATCCCCAAAAGTTAGCTCGATGCCCAGGCCAATTTATCATGGTATCACAGCCAGGTTCTGATCCTGGGATCTGTGGGTTATGGCCTTAATTTTTATGTTACAAGTCAGATTGCATGGATTTACCCGATGAAGGAATACTCCATGCTAGCATAGCCTTTACTCCTAGACTTTAGCTGATCAAAGAAGTCCCCCACCATCTACACAATGAACCATAAATCAGTTGAAATCTAATACAACAACATGTACCCACGTCAATATAAGTTATTTATTAGCCGCCCAAAAATCAAGATACCTCGGCCAGGGGTAACTCATAAATAATTGATGCCCTGTTTTCAGTAATGAACATAATTTCTTTGAATTCTCCTCTCCTGTCCTGAGCAAGCTCCATAAGTGCACCAATATAATCTTTTGGGGTGAGCATTTCAATCTACACAAGCAGCATTTGCTTACATCCTCAATAAAAAAGAAAGAGAACTGCCAGTATGTTCAGAAATAGGCACTCCAACACAAACCACCTTAACATATGGCTCTTCAATAGACCTCCTGCTTCCAGGTTCAGGAAGTAAACATGGATTTGAACATTCAACCTACAAGCACAACAATAAATCACATGAAGGAAATATTGCGAGCAAGTTTTTATGCCTAATTAGTTAAGTTAGAATCAGTGGCACATAACATTATGAAATGAACAGGCAATTGAAAAGTGATGCAGAAATTATCAACATGGACGAAAGCTGATCAAGCATATCTTCTAATTTTGAATATATCTAGGATGCACAAAATATTTATACAGAGATTGCAACAGCTTTCATTATTATTCGAACGAATTTTTTAAATGAAGAAACTTCAGTAAATGAAACCCTGATTACCAAGATTTATTATAGTTATAGGATATTGTCATCTGCCATAATCATTTTATATATCTCATTCTTGACATTCGGATGAGAAAAAAATATAAAATTAATAACTATATTCATATGGTTGGAATTTTCATTACATCAACTCAAACTATTGGCAGGGTAAAAAAAGAAGGTAATAAAACTAAGTGACAAATATATTTATCTGCAATGAATTCAATAATGTTGATACCATGCACATGTATTTTGGATGAGATGTTCAATCAGCAGTACTGGAGCACATTAAGATTGGAGACAACAACTTACATCAAACTATATTAGACATTCAAACACAAAATAAGAAAAAGACACTAAGTTGATCACTTTCCGAAAAAGATATGTGAACTTGTCATCAAACTCGCTACAATAAGTTGAAAATTGAAGAGAAAAAGGTACACCAATCACGCTCTCAGGATGAACTTTTTCTATTTCAGTCCAACTGTCTCTGCCAAGTGACACTCCGTGTCATCCTGGTCTAGTGACCAGCTGTTGGAATCGTCTCATCGAGGCGGTTATACCCTTAAACTGCAATCAAATCAAAGTTCTTTTACTCATTCAGTTTTACGTGAAAGTTTCCTTTCTTGAGGCTCAAGTAGGTAAGGGAAAGAGTACTTTCTTTCAATTCTATAAAACCCCAAAACTACTCCTTACTGAAGTTCCTCAGCAAGACCAAACGAAATTTCATCAATTGCATTTTGTGTGAATCTCACTTTTTGCCAGCTTTTCATTGTCCTGTGTAATTTTGGCGTCGTCTAGCATCCACTTTCATCAAATGACCTATTGTCGGATTTGTCACGAGACGGTCGTACCCATTAAATTTCAGCACAATCAGAATTCATTTTCCCATTCAATTTTTTGTAAGACATTTATACACTTTTTCAATTTCTCCCATTGTCTGTTGTCCGGTAGAATTCCGACGTCATCTGACTTTCATTCTTATTGAGTGACCTAACATTGGACTTTTCTACTCGAGATGGTCGTACTCGTAAAATTCCAGCTCAATCAGAATTTGTTAGTCCGTTCAATGTTCCGTCAAAAGTTGAAATGTGTTGTTTTCTGTCTCGGCTAATTCTGGAGTCGTCAGCCTTCCATTCTAATCAAGTGACTTACCGTTGAACTCATCTCGTCGATATCGTGCCCAAAGTTCCTGTCCAATCGAAGTTTGTTTACCTATTGAATTGTTCAATAAAATTTTGTGCACTGTGTGTTCGGTCCGTGATTAGTGTACCTTTTTTAAGAATTTTCCAACTTATTGTAGCGAGTTCGATGAGGTCCAAAGTTCACGTATCTTTTTCAGACAATTTAGTGAATCACTACATCTTTATGAAAATTGCCGAAAACATGATCAACCCCTCTGCTTAGAAAGTTGAACTAATTTCTATAATGTTCAAATTCGAAACACAATATGAAAAACATGCAGTCTTTCTTTCTGAGCATAGATTTTCTTTTTTTCTTTTTTTTTTTATTTTTCTTTTTTTTTGGATTTTAAAAGGTAGTCAGAAGAATAGATAAAAATTTTGACCAATGATACCATGAAAAGACTCACTGGTCAAATAGCTCACAACCTTTTTATCGGAGATTCGTAAGGAGAAGTAAATTGGAAGATTGTCGGAACTGAATAGCTAATTACATCCAGATTACGTCATACCAAGTTTCTGATGACAACACATAAGGACTCCTAAGTAACCAGGCACCCAGAAGGACTGATGACCAGATAACTTAGGGCATGCATGGGAAAGTACACTACTGATTAATGAAGTACAGAATCTAGTAATGTAAAATTCTACTAAAAAAACATGACAGGTTAGTCATCAGTGTCCATAAAGTACTATGCACTCAAATAAAAAAGGATATCAGTAAAAATAACAAGAAAAGGTTGAGAATAGATTACAGTTTCACCGTTGATACAATTGACTCGGTAAACCACACTCGGAGCTGTAGTTATTAGACTCAAATTGTATTCACGTTCAAGCCTTTCCTGCTTAATAGAAGTATAGAACTCATTATCGTGCAGGTAGTGCAAAGATGCATAGCAAAGACTGAAAGAATGGAAGAGTTGGAAACTCATACCTGAACAATTTCCATGTGAAGAAGACCAAGATACCCACATCTAAATCCAAATCCCATTGCACTTGAGGACTCCGGCTCAAACTGCAACGTAAAGAATATTGTTGGCAATTTTTTCTATAGAATGTCATAACTTTATATACACAAAAAAAAAAAGGAACACTATTTCAATGAAAAATGTAAATTGAAAATCGACATTGAAATGAAATTATGCAAAAGAAATGTAGAAGAAATCTCTACAAACAGCAGACCTTCCAGCATTTTATTAGAAGAAATCTCCACAAACAGAAGACCTTGTTTGGGACTAAAAGGCTTTGTTGTTGTTGTTGTTGTAAATCTCTACAAACAGAAGACCTTAAAGCATTTTATTACAAGTTTCAAAAGTGAAGTGATGTTCACCTAGCAAAGCATGCATAATTTGCACAAGAAGCTTATTTAACATTTCAGACGTATGTAGTATCCGCATTGTTTTCAAGAATCGAAATTGGGTACTCACTGGGTAAACCAGTAACTCAAATTTCGGAGACTTAAGAGGATCTTGAAACATTACCAAAGCAGTACCGTTACCCCTCAAATTATGTTAGAAGCTAGCATGAAAATATACAGAACAAAAGGGCAGAAGGAAAAATATCAAGGAAGGTGGGCAATTTGAAACATTCCTGCAATTCTCTCTATTTGAAGCTTTACAAAAGAAACAACCTTCTCTGGCCTCGTTGAGAGAGACAACGCCTTTTTCTTTTTCAATTGTACTGCTAATTTCGTTTTGTCGTCATTGGATTCTAATTCGAAGGTTGTCTTTCTTATGCTGAATGCAGGCCATTGGAAAATTCAAGCAAGATGTGAAACACAATTTTTCGTAACCATCCTTCAGGCCTGCTAAAGATTGACCAAACTCTGTGACCCAAAGGATGAGGGATTCGAAGAAGCACAGAGAAGGTGTGAAAGCAGCAGTGTCAGTTATTGTAGATCTCTGGCTTTGGTTGGGTAGGTTAATATGGGGAATTATATTCTATTTCAGAAAATCTGGAAGCAAGGAGTCATGCTCAAAGCATCATGACGTTTGGCCAAATTTTGGGAAAAACCAAATGGAAATATCCCCTACTCCTTCATCCTGGGGTGCTTCCCTCAGGTATGGAGCCAAGTTGCTTTCAGATTGAAGGACTAGGATTTGAAGGAAGAATTGGAGAAAGGATCTTATCAGGATAGATTTGAATCTACCACAATGATTTATAAAAGAGCTCAATACAGGAATGTAAAGAAATGATATCAAATGTATGTAAACAAACACAAAGACTGAAAATCTTTCAAATTCAAATTCAACATCATAGACATCTTCCCGAATGATTAAGTAAATTAAAAACAGCCACTTCTGCCATCTGATTTGGATAAAGAATCTCCTTATTATCATGATCATGCCAATGAACCTTTGGTGGCAGATGGTTTCCTCTTGTTTCAAGAACATACAAATATATACACACAAAAACAATAAATGGTGTAGCTTGAGACAAGGTTAAGTCAATAATAGCAGATTCCAGCAAAAAATTAGTGGAATTTTTTGCGCATGTACTCCTAGTTAAAGAGCCACAGCCATGTAAGTCATTCAAACAGAGTACTCCCACCTTTAGAGCAGCATCATTAAGCTGCAATTTCTCCAAAGCATCACGCAAGTCGTGAAACCTATAACATGGTTTGACAAAAATTATAGACAGCTATATCCATAACCGTATTGAGTGAAGTGTAAAAATGACGAAACAGGAAAATACTTGTCAGCATCAACAGGAAACAGGCCGCAGAAAACCATAGGTGTTGCTTCCTTGTATCCAGGAAGAGATTCTTCGGCCTTTCTGTTGTAATGTGTAATAGTATCACCAACCCTAGCATCTGCTACTGATCTTATGGAAGCTGAAAGATAGCCAACCTGAAAGGATACAACTTTGAATTACTTGTACGAAACCAAGAATGGAACAAAAATTGAATATGTTCATATATTGGTAAATGAGCAAATAAAAAATAATGTTGCACAGAACGTCATAAAATAAATGATTCAATTAACCCTTCCATACCAAAATTATACATGGAATATGCATCTATCCACTGAAGTTCTAGGATAAGCCATTCCGTGTTAACTGGAAATGGTTGACATATTACAATAGACACGTGTAGGGCAGGGGAAAAGAGAATTATTATTTCGAGTTTACTTGCATTGTTTAAGGTACAGTGAAACTAAAATGTTAGAAACATAACCAATGCCAATGGAATAGAATCTTTTAGGCTGAGAAAAATGTTCACGATTAAAGAACTGAAAAGGCTTGCAAGGTGGTATAACATTAATTTAGTAAGAGGCCAGGTTAGATTGGACTCTGCACCTCTCCAGCAAGCAATTGATCAACTTGCAATTGGTTGGGAGATAAAACTCCAACTTCATCAGCATAATAGTCCTGCAATTTGCAATTACAAGGTAAACAGGCTACAAAAATGGATGTGCATGCAAGGTTCTTAAAAAAAGGTACCATGAGAAAACCTTAATCATTATTTGTTAACTACATGTTTCAGCAGTGACTCAATAATAGAGGGAATGGCATATAACCAGAGACGTAACTTCATCAAAAAAGAACAAATGGAAAGGCACCAGCATTGCATCTTTACAATGATCCATGACTGGCTTGTAGGGATTAAATGATTCAATATTTAATACCAGTGCTAAACTGATCAGCAACATTAAGAAAAAATGATCCATGACTGGCTTGTAGGGATTAAATGATTCAATATTTAATACCAGTACTAAACTGATCAGCAACATTAAGAAAAAATAAGCAATCAGCTCACGAGGAAATTTAACATTGTAAAATAAACATTTAACATGTTTTGTTTAAGTTGTTTATTCAAAATAATTTTTTTTTTTTTTTTTATTACATTTATAGCATTGTCCTAACAACAGAAAAGAACATTTAATTTATAATTCATAGAAATTTTTCTTAATGTTTAAGATAGACTTCAATTTCCATACAAAAAGAGTAGTGTAAACACATTGGTTGTTTATATTATGTTATATATATGAAGTATCTTCAATCATGTTATTATTCACAAATATTTTTCAAATAAATTGTTATATTCTATATCATTATATCAATGGAACTAAAAAGAGTTAAGTATTAAGTATTAAGTATTAAGATTGAGGTATTAAGTATTAAGATTGAGCTTGCATGCCTATGTCAGATTTCAAGTTTAATATGTTATCGACCAAAATTAAGTAAAAAAAAAAAAAAAAAACTCTCCCACTGTAATAACGCAATTAAAAAATATTGCAAGAGAAATATTCAAACACCAAAAATTAGCTTTTGAATTAAAATACATTCAATATATATTAGCATAAAAAATTACATTTATATGTATTATTAAAGGTGAACTTAAATATATTATTTGGGATATTTTTTTCTTTATAAGTTAGATAAATAAATATTTTTATTAATAGGAAATATTTTTTTACTCGCAAAAAAATATTTAAAATAAAATTTTTACATTTGTGTATAATGCATAATTATTTTTGGCTTAAAGCATTTATACAAATATATCAATAATAATAATAATAATAATAATAATAATAATAATAATAGAAAGTCCAAATGACATTGATTAACATCGAATTAACAATTAAATCTGATGGCTAGGAACACAATGTCACAAAGGAAGATATAAAAATATTACATCGATAAAAATAATTACAACAATGATCATGATTTCAAACAATGATGTCAACATTGATTTACAGATGATAGACAATCAGACTTCGTTAGCAATCAACAACTACTGAATATTGAGGGCTTGATTGTTTACAAATTATTTTACTCACTTTTATTTCAACTCAAAATCTAGCTCAACTTTAACTCAAACCCACTATCTTTAATATTATTCATATAATTAAATAATACAAACCAATCATTCTTACACATCACATCTACTTTAATTTAATTCAGTATTCATCCACTCACATGATTTTAACTACCTATCATTTCTAATCATTTCCAATCATTTATCTTTTACTTTTACATCAAATCAATTTTAATCATTTTATTTTAAATATTATTTTAATACATTCTTAAAATTCCACTAACAACTAACCATACACCTTTTTCAAAATTAACTATGGTTAACCAAAATAACTCAATTTGAACGCATCACATGGTATAAACAATCAAGCCCTGATTGATTTCATTTTCGAATTTTTATCACAAACTTATTTATCTATAGCTTTCACTACCATTACATATTATGTTCAGTGCCAAATACATTCATATATAATAAGTACATATTATGTTCACTGCCAATACATTCATATAATTTATTATATATATGTTTCCTCTTTTATTAAGCTAATGAATATTTAGAATATTAAGCATAAATTTAGTAAAAATATAATTTAAATCATAAAAACATTAATAATTACGTGCGTCGCACGTGCAACTTCATAGTTAACAGTAAAATACGTTAATAATTGTGTTAAAATCAATTCCATAATTATGAATGTATATAATTTGAGATCATCTTAAAATCTTTGTTACAAACCTAGGGTTTTCTGAGTAGTGAGTTGATATCTTCTTTTGATATCAATGACCATATATATATATATATATATATATATATATATATAGAGAGAGAGAGAGAGAGAGAGAGAGTTACTCATGGGCCTTCTAAGCATGGGCCTTGATATACTTAACACCCTCCCTCTCAAATCCAAGGTGCAGGTGGACGATCCGAAGCATTGAGTTTGAACAAGTGAAGTTGATGTTCTCTACTTTGTGCTTTGGTAAAAAAAAAATCTGCCACTTGCAGTTCTGAGGGCACATATCGAAGAGCAATTGTTTTATGATGAAAATGATATCGGGTAAAGAAAGCATCGAAACCAATGTATTTTATAAGCTCATGTCTCACAGGATCATTGGCAATTTGTATGGCTCCAGTATTATCACAAACAAAGAAGAGGTATAAAAGCATCACATGGAAGACCAAAATCAGCTAACAACCACCGAAACCATCTAACTTCTGGAGCTGTAGTGGCAAGTGCTCGAAGTTCTGCCTCAGCGTGATACAACAGTGACTGAACGACGATATGTCGGATTACTCACAAAGTAGAGTTAAGCATGAACTAAAGCAACTATCACGAGCATAGAACAAACACTGAGATGATGTGCCCTTAAATGTCGTAATACACAAAGCAAATGTCCAAAATGAACTGAAGTAGGAACACTCACAAACTGACTAAATATATCAACAACATGAGCAATGTTAGACCTGGTGAAATAAGATAAAGTAGAATGCCCACAATATGCCTATATCGAGAGGGATCCTCTAGAGGCCCGTACGAAGAAGCTGCAAGTGAAGATCCATAGGTGTAGTCGTTGTCCGGTTATCAGTAATACTAGAACGAACTAGAAAATCATGTATGTATTTGGCCTAAGAAAGGTAATAGCCCGAGTTAGAGTGCATTTTTTTTTTCCATTAAGCCTTTCAGAAGTAATGGTAGGGGTACCAGTAAATGAGAGAGAGAATGTCATATGACCTGCTCAAATGAAAAACACAAAGCACAAACACAAAGCGCAGAATGTGACTGAGGCAGAGAAAATGTCCTGGCAATTTCACGAACAAGCCTCTGGAAAGACAGCTTCAAACAAACTCATAAGGTAAGCCTCAACAGAGAGATATTAGTGTGATATTAGTGATATTAGTGTGATATTAGTGTTAACTGTTATATTATAGGCCCACAGCCCATATGTCCTATATATCCTAAGTCTATATATATGGGGCCTCCTCTTGTGAATATTTATTGTCCAAAACCCTAAGGTTTGTAACATGGTATCACAACCTTACACATAAATATCTTTTTTCGATCTCACCTCCCACACCATTAAAATCGCCGCCCCGAGAACGACCGTCCGGCAAAGTCTCGCCGTCAGAAGCCGCGCGTGTAAGTCACACGCGCCACCGGGACTGTCTGCCGTCAATCCCACGCGCCTGCGCGTGAGGGCGTGTGGCTTGCCGGAATTTCTTCCGGCGACCATCCGTGAACTCGGAATTTTGTGCTCTTGCTGCCAGTGTCCTTTGTTTTCTGTTTCGGGAGGTTTTGGTGTTCGTTTTGTGCATTTTCAGATCCGTCACTCTTCGGGGTTAGGGTTTTTGTACTCTAATCTGTCCCGACCGTCGTCAATTTTTGTTTTTTTTTGTTGTCACTCGCCTATTGTGTGCCCCAACGCTGCCCGTCGCAGCACTTTCATTCACTTCGTCGAGGCTTGTTACTACGTGTTTGTCTAATCATGTCGCAACTTCACGGAATTGCTATCAATATTACTCTTGATGGTCAGAATTATCAGGAGTGGGCTTTCTCGGTTGAAACCGTGTTAAGGGGTTACGGTTTGGCCTTTCACTTGACTGATGATGGACCCGAAAGGAAGGCCGATAATAGCAATGCTGCCGAAATCAAAGTATGGCAGATTAATGATGGGAAAGTTGTAATACCCCGTTTGAATATGGAATAATTGGGTTATTTATTATTTGTTGTCTTTATTATTATTATTATCCAATTTCCTATTTGACTATTGCAATTATTATTATTATTATTATTATATATAAATATTGTTTCTAAATGTCAAATTTCTCTTAATTGTTAAATGATTGTTATTATTATTATTATTATTATTATTATTATTATTATTATTATTATTATTATTATTATTATTATTATTATTATTTTTATTATTATTAAATGAATGTCTAAATGCTATTATATGTCTGATTGCCTAATTGTTATGATGTATTAAATGTTTATTATTAATATATGTTATTGTGTGTATTATATATATATATATGTATGTATATATATATTGTCCGGTTTAATTTTATTGTCGCGATCGAATCAAGCTTCGTATATTTGCTAAGGGTTAAACCCAAGAGAACCCTGGCCTGAACCCGCGCCAGCATGTACCCGGTCTGCCCCATATTTATACCATTTTTGGAAATAATTTCTCCTTGATCAATTTCCAAGCTTTAGTGCCGTGTGAGAGAGTAAAACCAACCCCAAAATTTCCTCCTTGACCTATTTTTTTCAAATTTCTATGTGTTGCTGGAGCTATTTGCATTATGGCAAATCTTATGCTTATTAATCCATTTATTTCTTTCAAATAAAGTTGTGAATGTGAGTTGGCGTAATTCTGTTTTTCTTTCTTCTGAAGAGATTATTTTTTTGTTTGGGGAATCTTAAATCCGGTCACCATAAGTCATATTTTGGTAGGATCAAATTTACTCAATTTATGTCCAATCTCCTTAATTTTCTTTTCTTGCACCATAAGTTGAATATCTTTATTTCACTCCTTCCTTTTTCCACGCTGGGAGAAATCATGCCCATCTCCTACACCTTCTCACGACTCGTCGATGATAGAAAAGAGGA